CGCGGAGCGAGAGAGGAACCTACGTGGCACCTGGACGAGCGATGCCTGTTGCCGCGTTGATGGGCCGTCGTACACGGGTATAGCGTGTCGTCGTCGTCGTTGTCCCCGTCGTCCTTGTCCTTATCGTCGTCGTTACCACCGCGACTTCCCGTGGCCGTCACCTCGTCGATATTCTCGGATGATCCGTCAAAACCGCGAATTCTCTTTCCGCACCGATTGTGCGCAACAGACGATTAGATAGTTCGCGCGAAAGCGCTCGTCACACCGCTGCTGCTGCTACTGCTGCTGCTGCTGCTGTTGCTCCACCTCCTCCTCTTCTTCCTCTTCCTCTTCTTCTTCTTCTTCCTCCTCTTCCTCCTCCTCCTCTTCCTCCGCCACCGATGTCGCCGCTGCCGTTGCCGTCACGATCTATCACTGACGTTTGATCGTCCGTCTTATCGTTATCTCTGCACTCTTATCTTAATGCGCACTACACAGTGACCGTCCAGGTGCCGTCGCCGCCGTCGTCGTCGCCGTCGTCGCCGCTCCGTCGTCGTCGTCGCTCCCTCCACCACCGCCTCCTCCTTCTTCTTCCTCTACCTCTCCTTCTCCACGTTACCGTCGTCGTCGATTCACCTTTTGGAAGTGACTGAGGGGGGAGGAGAGAGAAAGAGGCACACAGATCACTACGCGGATAAGCACAGTGCGAGCCACAGCAGGCTATACTAACTACGGCAACGCGTCAGAAGAAAAATGGCGATCGTTGTCTTCTGCTCGGGGCCTCTTCCTCCTTGCCTCCTTCGCCGCCACGCAAACGTCCGTCCCGTTCTGTCACGCGCCAATCGACTTCCCCTCCACTTCGCCATTTCCTCTTTTTCCGATAAAGGTGCAACCACAATGGAAGAAATAAGGAATTAAGAATAAGGAATAAAGATTTCAACCTACCAGATGTCGGATACACCGGAATACACGGTTTCTGATAGGTTGGAATTATTATTCTTAATTCCTTGTTCCTTCTATTGTGACTGCACCTTAACTGTGCGAATTCTACGGTTGCGCTCTCTGCAGCGATTCGCGGTCTCTTTAAGCCTAATTTACACGGTCTTTAAAATTCACAAGAAATTCGAGGCGATTTAACTTGAAGTTACGTCTATTTCTGCCAATGGCTGCGTTCAGCAGAAAAAGCTTTGCAATCGTTGTAAAACTCTTTGATGCGATTGGTCTTGCTCTTCGTAATCGACTGTTTGGTTTTCTAGATTCGATTTCTAGAGTCATCGACAGATGACGCTAAAATCGGAGGCCTAGAAATTATTTCATATTTAAATCCCTCAATTTAAATCCCCTAGTTTAAGGTTTAAATCCCTTGATGAAACGAACGAGATCTGTGTTTGACAACTTGGTGCATTATGTTTCGGATAAAGGATTTCGTACATCGATAGTCGCTGTCACGCAAAACCGTGCACGATTGCAAGAAAGATCAGCAAAATTTCCGTTTCTTTTTACTAATGAGGAGAACACAATGTTGAAGTACATTTTTCCTGTTGCGATAATCGTTCTCGCCTGCTTGTCACAGCGATCTGAGGTTAGGATGCTTTTTCACGGTTGAGTTAAATCCAGTTCACTGGTATCTTTAACGATTGTGAATGATTCTAGGCGCAATATGATGACAAGAGATGCAAGTGCATCTGTCCAAGCCTTTCTTCCGTCATAAATACGACGCAATCGACCGAACGTCTCACATACATTATAAATGTACCACCATTGCAATGGTAATTATTGGTGCTTTCCAACAAGAAATTAAATCATCTCATCTCTACAATATGTTCTTTACTTCCTATTTCTTGTTTTTTATCTCGTACTTTTTTTTCGCAATTTTCTTTGCATTTTGTTTTATTGATAATAGCGTTTCTTTTCATATGTTTTTGGAAGTTTGTTGACTTTTATCTTGGGCAACAGGAAACAAAAAACTGAATAAAAGACAAAAAGGCAAGAAGTAAAACAGGAAACAGGAAGCAAAGAGCACAATGTAGATAATTAACAATGTAGCTTAATCTACATTGTAGATTACTGGTGCTTTCCAACAAGAGACAGTATTCATTTCATTTTTGTTTAACAATGGTAAATAAGAATGAAATAATACTCTTGTGTTACATTGTAGATTCTTTCTATTTGGTGACACAAGTCAACATAAGTGTCATTCTATCATTGTTATTCACTGAATATCAAGAAAGATAGAATAATGCTTGTGTCGATTTATGTCTCTAAATGGAAAACATCCTACATTATCTGTGTTCCTTGCTGGAAAACAAATCCAGTGTTTTGTATAAATTAATAAGGGCCCTATCCATGCAACTTGGAGTTTTCCAGCTAGAAGTCAACTAAACGGGAGGGCTCCGATTGCACACATCGCATATTGCACACATGTATCGCTGATTGGCCAATTTAAAAATAAAATAATCTCATTGGCAAAACATTGAAAAATTACTAGGCACCAGTTGATATGAGTGGTGTGTACAATCAGAACTGTAGGCAAACGGGATCCTCCCCAACTAAACAGTGTCAAAAAAGGAGCACTATGTAAAGTTATTTGTTATTTAAAGAGAGCTACTAAATTTTTACGGCACACTGAAATTTGTTTCTTAAATAGTTGGTATGTATGACACAAGTTTCAACTCAGCTTTTTGGCTGTATTTATTTATGTTGTATCATTGTTGAAAAGCAATGTATTGAACATTATATCACTTTGTATCGCTTGTGTCCTCTTTGCTGGAAAGCTCCCATAATTTATATCCTAATTTTCATCAATATAATCATAATACATATCTAATTTGTAGCAAGTGTGAAAGTGTTGTTCTACCTAAACTTGGTGACCAAATAAAAGGCAAAGAGGAAGTATTTTGCTCGCGATGCGACTGCAAATATGAAAACAGGAACACGACTATTATTAAGGTATTTATTTCTTTTCATTGACGAACTTTATATCACCATTTTATTGACCATTTAATGTAACAGAAGAATTTATGTTGCAGATCGTTGTGATAATAGTTATATGGGTTATCTCATTGTTAGTAATTTATATGTTATTCCTAATTTGTCTGGATCCACTGCTTAACAAGCGGATACACAAAGCGTCAGCAAATATCGGTTATCATGAACATAATAATGAAGAGGTAAATATATCATCAATTTTATTTTTTTCTCCAATAATGAATTCAACTACTCGCTCTTTACATTGGATTAGTTTACATTAAAAAGGCTACTTTATATAAAGTATTTAAATACAGTAGCATAATATAATCAACTGTGAAATAATGAAATAATACATTCTGTATGAAATAGTATATTCTGTCAAACAATATGATGCATCATTATTAAATATTTTATCGTTTAAAATATTTATGCTTTTACATTTAACTTTGCTAATTTCATATTATAGCAGCTCTTAGTATATCAATCTATAATGCAAGTCTATAATGACCAAATTTGCTGCGTTCGAATATGTAAAATAAATGTAACGTTTGACAACTAAACACCGATCATACATAATTATCTGTATGTGATACATGTTTTTTTCTTTTATTTTACAAAGGATGATTCATCTCTCGCACCTGGAACGTCTCATCCAATGGGAGAAAGGGGCAATGTTTTGAATCGTGTTGGACACCAGCAAGACAAGTGGAAGCGACAAGTTCGAGAACAGAGGCGGAATATTTACGATCGTCATACTATGCTAAATTAAGTTGAACAGTTTGTTTCCTAAATATGTAAAATATCCAGACAGAATACTTCTAAATGTGACGATAATTTATTCGATCCTTTCGAAGTAAACCTCCCGCAAATAGTTTGTAAAAATATAATATATTACAATAATAAAGTAACATTAAGCGTTAGCGACTATTTTTGACGATCATTTATTTTCGTAAAATCTCTATCCAGTAGACTGTCACGATTAATATAAAGGAAAACTATATATATATAAATATTTTTTATTCTATATGTGCAGAAAAACTTAATATATAAATTATATCATTATAAAACTAGTTCCGATAATTTTTGCACCACGATCTTTCAAAAGAGTTTTTTAACTATGAAAGCAAAAAAAAGCAAATCTCATCTTTATATTTTTGATAGAATCTTTTTAATCATATTATTTATTATTGCACTTAGATGAAAATCTTCAGATAATTATGTATAAAATTCGAACGCTCCCTAATCGTATATATTTTATAAGACGAGCTTTTATATGTTGCGATAAGACTTACTAAATTCCTAAGGTTTTCAATCTTTCGAGATTGCTTTCTCAAGCGAATCTTTGATTGTATCGTATAACGTTAAGACGAGAGCACCACCGGTGCCACGAAGAACGTTGGAGAATGCACCTTTGAAGAAAGCTCCGGGACCTTCGTTTTTTGTTATTTTTATCCAACAATCGAGTGTATTTTTATACATTATGTCAGCCTTACTTCGCCCTGATTGCATCATCATTCGTCTTCTAACTGTATCGAAAGGATAGGACACGATACCCGCCAACGTTGTTACTATCTACAAAGGGTGACACTTACATAATAAAAGATTATTGCGGAAGGAAGATCTCTTTTTACCTCGGCGATTATAAAATTCATATACAACGGTGTGCTCTTCGGATCGGATAGCATACCCCTCATAGTATCATAAAATCCGAAGTACGTTGCGCGATATATAATGATTCCTTGCACGCTGACATTGAAGCCGCGATAAAGTCCGAAAAATCCGTCCGATTTAAAAATCTTCATTATACAGTCGTTTATACCTTTAAATTCTCGTTTCTCATCTTTCCCGATATCGGCAGCTAATCTAAAAAATTACACTGTCTTATGCAAATAATACAGACTATCTTAAAATTTAACTGTGCCACAATATTGTTAATTTTTTTTCAGCAAATTGTGTCATTTGCATTACATTAATATAAAAAACTATGTGAAATTAACAAATTTAAATGTAAAAGCATATAAATGTATTAAACGATTAAATATCCAATAATGGTATTTACGTTATTTAATATATATGTTATTTAATAGAATATTCAATTACTTCATTGTCAAAGTTTAGTATATTATATCATTGTATAATATAATAAATATTTAGATACTTATATAAAACGGCCTTTAATATGCACTATCTATAGTGTAGTACAAGTAATCAAATTTATCATTATTGTTTTTATTTATAGAACATCTTGAAAATTTATATAAAAATATGAATCACATATAATTAAGCTTTGTAATATTTTATGTACATGTAAAATGTACCTGGTGCGGGCAAGGTCAAGCGGATACACAAATAAAAGCGACGTCGCACCAGCAGCACCGCCAGCAGCTAGATTTCCAACGAACTGTCGCCAGAAAGCATCTGGCGGTACGCCTCCCAGAAAGAATGCCTTAAATTTATCTTTAAATGCAAAATTAAGCGCTTGAGTCGGAAAATATCGTACAATGTTAGCAAGATTGCCTCTGTAGAAACTAAGGAATCCTGTTTCTTGAGGTATACGTACAAATGCGTCTATCATACCTGATGAAAGTTCAATGAATGTAAGAATGAGAAATTAACGAACGAAGAATGGATGAGATCATTTTTTATATGATGCATCAAAACGGTGTAATCATTTTGATGTACCTTTGTATCGTTGGTCAGGTCTAATCTGCTTCGAGGTATGCTGCACTTGCAGCAACAACTTCACTCTTTCTAGAGGAGCAACCGCTGTTTTTGCAATCGCTGCGGACAAACCGCCTGCTATAAAATCTATCAGAAAAGATTTGTACGAATCCATTTCTCTCGGGGGCTGCTAAAAATCAACAGATTCTAAGACATTAACAGTCCATCATGCGGACCGTATTAAAATCACAAGATGTTTGCATGTTTATTTTTTATAATTGTATGTACTTATGCGTTAATATCGAAATATTACATATCTTTGCATTATCTGTCAAGGAAATAAAATGTAATGTCAAAACTACTATGCTACTTAAGTCATTTGTTTCGTCAGTCTGCTAGAAACAGTGCTTAAAACTTGGAAATTCTTCGAAAATCCCTTAATATCCATTTCTATGAATGAAGATTAACTTTAATTTTGGTTTAATTTACTATTTGCGTAAAAACTTAAGAAAATTTCATATTTTTAATTTTTTATCATTGACGTTTATTTATTAAAAATCTAAAATAATTTGGAAGGGTTCCGATAGCGCACATCGCTAATTGGCCAATTTGAAATAAAATATTCTCATTAATAAAGCAGTGAAAACTATAAGCACTGGCCGATGTGAGTGGATATGTGTTATCGCACTGTTTGCTAACGAGAACCTCCCAATAATTTGAAGTGAATAATGTTGAAAAGATATTGTCATAAAAAAACATGAAGTTAGTCACTTGATTTTCACTTAAACATTGATTAAACAATTATAAATTCAATTCTTTGATTATAAATTCACTTAAACAATTATAAACTTAGTGAATATTAAAAAATGTTTCTTGATGACTGATAATTACTGATTTTTTCATAATTTGTTGAATTAGAAACATTTTTCTGCATTACAAAAAAAAAATTACAATAAAAAATATTTTTATTACCATTATCGCAATAATAAGGAGCGAAAACTTTTCTTTTATAGAAGTCTAACAATCGACATATGTCAAGTCTAAATTGGTATAGAGACTCTTTTCATGTACATATCTACTACATCCTTTTTTATTTTCTTCTTTAATTTTAATGTTGATATTAACACTATCGTTCATAAATTCAGAAATATTTGCAATTTTCTTACAATTTACAGAAACTTAAATATCTCGGCGAAAAAAAATTGTAGAGAAGTTTCCAAAAATACATTTAAAAGATAAAAAATAGAGCTTTAAAAACGTTTTCTCAATCGTTAACAATTTTTATAAAATTAATGTTCGAAACAATGTTATAAAAATTTGAAAAAATTATATGACTCAATTATATTATAATAAACATTTTTTCACTTTTTATTTTTTTCCACAAACTTTTAGTGTCGAAGTTAAAAACACTTTAGAAAAAGTAAGTTTTTACACAATAAAATTTTGCAGAACAAAAAATACAATACCTATACGAAAAATCATATCAATTTTTTTTCATTTTAAAACTTAGAAAGTTTATCTTAAAGTGCTTATTTGTTAAATTTTATCCGACGAAGTTTCTTCCAGGTATCTTACAGCGCTCAACGAATAACAAAAAATATTGAAATGAAGTTTCAATTTTATATAAGTAATTCTGGAAAAAAGTCGCAGATATATATAAAAATTCGAACGCCATTTTAAAGCTCTATTTTTTGCCTTTACATTACATTTAAAAAAATTTCTCCACAAGTTTTTTTCATCGAGATATTTAAGTTTTGTAAAATGTGAGATAATGGCAAGCGTTCCTGAATTTATGAACAGTAATGTACACCTATACAAAAAAATAAGAAAAGTTAATTTTTTATAGAAAAGTGAGAAAAAGTATACATAAAATATATATTATACATAGAATATATATTTGATTTTTATTATTATATATATAATGTTAATAGTATATAGTATATGCATAGTATATGTATAGTTAAATCTTAATTTATAAATACGATTGTACCTTTGTATGAGATCTTTATTTTTGTAGAGCGCAATCATTCAGTTTCACAATTTCCCACTTTTAGATTTCCTGTTTTCTCTATCTAAAAACAATTTTTAAATCATTACTAATATGTTATATTAAAATTAACTAAATTTTTAATACACGAATTATTACGTATTACATGTAAATAAGATGGATAATTGTAATGCATTTTTGGATGCAAAAAGTTATCGGCAACGTTTTCATTTCTTATTCTTGTTCCAATCAGCTTCTGAAATATAATGTAAAGCCAGGTAAATTCCTAATACATTGCAAAAGATCTTGCGTATTATATTTAAGTATATACTTATTTATTATTCCTATTACCTCTTGTGATATCGGAGATAGTTGAAGTTTTTTCATTTTTAAATTGGGCGGCTGCGTGGTCAACTTTCTTTTAGACGTTAGCGTTTTATCCGTTTTAAGCAGATTTTTTATCAGGCAGGATTTTGTATACATTCGAAATGGCAATACTATGTGATCATAATTTCCCATTTGTCGAATATTCTCCGCTTGTAATAAAATAATTTCGAGTACGAGCGTGGCGTAGCAGGCAGCGCACGAGATTGCGATATCAGAGAACATCCTGGATTCGAATGCTCGTAGCTCCTCTCGGCAGGCAATATAATAGCAAACTACCGAGAGTACCCTTGCCTAGTACACTTCTCTAAACAAAATCGTCGTTCGAAATCGTTAAACTGTGGGGGCCTTATGACTGTGTACAATCTGCATGCGCACCATAGGCATATGAGAAAAATCACCACGCTCGATTACGCAATATTGCCCGTAATAATAAATAAGCAAAACATAAGTTTATTATTATAATAATAAATAATAATAATATAATATAACAATAATATAATATAATAATAATAAATGAACATTAAACATTTAAAAATAATTAAAAATTATAATTGCAATATTATAGAACAAATAAAATGAGCAAGAGACACACGAATTATGTTCGTAATATTTACTTGTGTCATTGTTTTACACAAAAAATCGAACGTATATTTGTTTAAAGCTTTATGTCGGTCAGTGAATGTATGTAGTCAGAGCTTTTATTCAAAAGTTACAACTATATATGACTTTTTATAAATGACTGGATCATAGTAATTTATATGACTTTTATATATATATAAACATGGGATAAAATATATTACTGTTTCTTTCATTTTGTATCGTATACAGAAAATAGAATGCTTACGCCAAATGTTACATATAAATTTATCTCAAGGACTAGAAGAAAGATCTCTTTATGTGAACGATATTACATTACTTTCATCTCTAAACAGATGCTTAATTATATTTGTAAGATACACATGTAATAGAATATCTGAAGAAATGGCATTCGGCACATATTGGCATAGAATTATAGACAAACAGGGAGACTATCATCGGTCCTCAAGAGATTCGACAGAGAGAACGCACACACTTTTTTTTATTTGAAAACACGTTGAGTTAGGAAAATATATACTAAGTAGTTAAAATCTTAATTAAAAAGTAATTAGTATAAAAATAATATTAGTAATATAAGCGATAGTAATGCTATGCCACACTTTCACTGTCTAGGTTAGTAAAATTAAAATGAGCAAATAACGAAATTTCTTGTGTGAGGTATTGTATTCTTAAAATCAGGGCTGGGCATGTATTTAAAATACTTTTATTTGAAAAACAGTATTTGTAAGACAATTGTATTTTGTATTTTGCATTTTAGTGGAGCACATGAAACTACAGAATACGTAATACCTTCATATGCTCCGCTAAGATACAAAATACATTTGTGTTGCAAATAGTGTATTTTAAATAAAAGTATTTCAAATACATTTTATGGTCTAACCCTGCTTAAGTTTTTGTAATAAAAATAAAAGATCATTTTTATGCTAATTAGTGGTTAATTAGCTTTCGAAAGTAAAATGCATCAATTTGGGAACATATACACAAGTAACCTACATAGATGTTATAAAATGGCAGTGAAAGTGTTGAATTTTCATAATACAGAAATTGCAATACTCAATTAAACTTCGCTTACATTATAGGGCAAGATGTTTAAAGCAAATGTATATATAACAAAAGAATCCATTAAATACTTTTTTTATAAATGTACATTGAAAAACATTTAACCAGGAAAATTATTCAATTTTCCTTTATATCGCACATTTACGCAGCGTGTACCGACTGAAAAAGAAAATTTATGAATGATAATTTTATCTTAGATTTTTATAAGCAATCATAAGTTTTATGCGTACCTTCGCAATGTCCACGCCCGTCAAATTTTTAACAAGATCTGGAACACGCTGTACAATATTGAAAACTTCCTCGGTTAATTTTTCGGCACCAATAGTGCCATTACCACTTGAAACCATAGTTATCTTTTTTGCCTGAGAAAGAGGAGCGGCTACTTCGGCGGCAACCTATAAAGTGAGTTGAAATTAGAATATTTAAAATTATTAGAGCGCTTTTAAATGTTGCAAAGATTTATATACCTTTGGAAGTGTATCAAGCATCATGTCTATCATGGCTGCGCTCTTGTACTCGTTCCATGCCGCAGCTTTCTTTGCCATTTGTTCTGCCTCTGCCTTAGCTTTTGCTTCGATAGCGAAGGCTTCCGCCTCACCGCGAATCTTAATAGCTTCGGATTCGGCTTCAGCTTCCATAACAAGACGCAGTTTATTTGCTTCGGCCATTTTCTCTAATCTACAAATCAAATCAAATCGATGTGCGTAACAAAAGTTTCATTTTTAAGCATGATCGAATACCTGTATTTTTCTGCGTCAGCAGGACGTCGTACAGTGGCATCTAATTCCCTTTCGCGTCTCAACATTTCCTGCTCTTGCACGGCGATCTCCTGAGTACGTTCTACAACCTTTACTTGCATTTGCTCTTCCATAATCCTTTGTTTAGTTTTTGCTGCTTGCAATTCGAATGCCATTTCTGCGTCAGCTTTCTACAAATGATATCTTTATTAAAAAAAACTATACAAAAAACATTTCATACAAAAAGTATTAAAAATCTCCTCACTTTGGTTTGGACTTCAACATCATAAGCAGCCTTTTTCAATTCAAAATCACGTTGCGCTTTTGCGATCTCTGTGTCATTAAGGAAACGTGCAGCCATTCTTTGTTCCTCGGCGATAGCTTCTCTAATTTGAGCGTCTCTGCGAGCTTCTGCTTCACCTATTCTAGCATCTCTCTTCACTTCTGCTGTACGTGCCATACCGAGTGCTTGTAAATAACCCTATAAGTTATATATTCTCATAAAATTATTACACAACGTGATAAAGTTTACAATAATACAATAACTAATAAATGATTTCAGCATTTTGAGTAAGCAATATCTGAGCGGCATAAAGCAACATATATAAGTATATATCGTTGCTCCAATTCAATTATTGAGATTTCTTAAATAGAAAAATTTGAGAAAAATACATGGGAGAATAAAATAATATTTTATATAATTATTTAACATAATGTTAAGACATTTGCAAAAATTATATTATTTTTATTTTTCTAAAATTATATATTTAAAAAATAAGATAAATTTCAACAATATCTTCATATTTTACATTTAAAGATACCTCAGTAATGAATCAGCAACAAGTGCACAAGTGTTGTAATATAAAGCAATGAAAATTTGTCTTTTTATAATCTGAAGAATTTACAATAATATTGTTAGAAGACATAGCGGTGTGCGCTGTGATATCAGTAACAAGGCTAATATTTCATTTGTCGTATGATAATTTATCAAGTAAAGCTACAAAATAGAGAAATTTCTCGTCTCCAGAAATTTTCTATCTTGTAACTAATCAATATACCTAAAAAATTTGTCGTACAACAAATGAAATATTAGTTTAATAGTGATAAAATAAAATTTGAACGTACCTTTGCCCCCTGCAAGTAGCAGAACAAAAAAGTATTCAATATTTACAATATACAAGATCTAATTATATTAACTACTTAAAAAGTTTATACTCACGTATCAATTATTGATAAACATTATTGAATTGTCTAAAGGGGGTCTTTTAAATATCACTGTATATATATTTATGTACACTATGTACACTATGTACACTTCAAAAATTCAATTATGACTTGTACATGTTATCAGCATTATTTTTCTGAATTAAAGATTTTGGATGCTTACGTGTTTGACTCATATATTTTTGTGTGTTTATAAACCAGCAACTTGTTTTTGAAATATTTTACAATTAGAAATGTAGCAAACTTACTTCTTCGTCTCGAATATCTTTCAATGTGTACGATACGACAGTAATGCCCATATTGACTAAATCACTGCTTGCTACTTCAAAGACTTCCTTGCTAAACTTTTTACGATCTTTGTAAATTTCCTGCAACAAAGAATAAGCCTATGTGTATAATCTTTAATAGATATAACAATTTAGGATAATTTATGTTTGCGTTCAGCTTACCTCTACAGTCATACTACCCATTATAGCTCGTTGATGTCCTTCTAGAGTGACGAGAGCTATATTATGTATCTCGTCTTCAGATTTTCCAAGAAACTGCTCACACGCCGTAGATAGCATCTCTTCATTTTGTCCCTGAATTTTTACCTGATACAAATACAACATTTTGAAATCTATGAATGCTAAGTTCATTTAAAGTTAACTTAAAGTTCTTTATAACACATTTGAAAAGCTTTCTTTTTTCAAAAATTTATATATTATATATAATATATA